CAACATCTTTTGTATAAATGATACTGGATTTTGCTAAACTGCATGTTGACTCATTCTAAGCTTTCCAAATTATTTAGAAAGGATGTCAGCATATTAATAATACTTGTTATCTTTTGTAATGAACAACATGCTTTCTTTTTCTTTTTTTTGTACTGGGGATTAAATTCAGGGGCATTCAACCACTGATCCACATCTCCAGCTATATTTAGCATTTTATTTAGAGACAGCGTCACACTGAGTTGCTTAGTACCTCACTTTTGCTGAGGCTGGCTTTGAACTTGTGATCCTCATGCCTCAGACTCCCAAGCCACTGGATTACACATGTGTGACACCACACCCATTTGAACATGCTTTCTTAAGGGTACTTCGTTATCCTGTTAGGCAATTTTGGAAATGTCCCAAAAGATAACAAAAGAGCATAGCCAGGCACAGTGGCACATGCCTATAATTCCAGCTATTCATGAAGCTGAGGCAGAATTGTAACTTAAAGGCCAGCGTGGGCAACTTAACACTGTCTCAAAATAAGGTGAAAAAGTCTGGGGATATATGTAGTTCAATGGCAGCGTGTTTGCAGTGTTTGCCCAGCATTGCAAAACAGAACAAAAACATAATAAAGAGAGAAGAAAATTCAAGAAAGTTACCAGCACTCCTAGAAAACAGGAATCAAAGATCTTACATGAATCAAAAAGAATATAAAAAGAAACCCAAAAAGGAACTTTACCCACCTAGACTTTCTCCTCAAGCCCAACTCTCGCCCTACGCTTATCTTACCAGGAGTATTAGAAAGTTTCCAAGAAAATGGAAAGTCTGAGTAAACCAGAGTCAGCAGGAAACCAAGTTCTTCAACAACTGCTCATTACCTAATCTGAACACCCAAATAAACCACAAAAAAAAAAATCTCTAAAAACTAAAGTACATATTTTACAGCTCTTCAAGTGTCTAAAAATTGCATTAATATTTACATTAACAAAAAGGAAATATTCCATCATCTCCTTTTTTTTTTGTCAAAAGCTATCATAAATGGTAAAGATAAATAAAAAAGATAGTCACCCATTTCAGCACATGCTCCAACTACACTGGCTTATTTATCACATTTTTGGACTTACTGATCACATGATGGCTGTGACTACCTCAGGGAAAGCTCTCTGGCTTTGTGCCTCCATTTCCTCACATACCCTGTTCTACAACAGAGAATCTGTGTAATGCATTTATTATTTATAAAAATACTATTAAATGGCAGTCAAAATATTAAGCAATTATCAGTCTGAAATATACTTGAACTGAATGAAGAGCCACTAAATAACTACTCAGTTTCTTCACATTTTGGTTTGGGGACAGATGTACAGGCAGTAGTAGCAGGACACAGATGGACACTCAATAGGATGACATGGAAGGAGACCTGCTATTTCTGAAGGATGAAACAAATCAGAAAAGATGGGTTAAAAGATGTTGAAATCGGATGTGCCAAGTTTTCTGCTAGAATGTATGACCTCTTCTTAAGTAAGGGCACTAAAAAGAGTGGTGAAGATATTTTGGTTTTTGGTCCCCAGTAAAGTCAAGTTTATCAAGGAATCTTATCACAGGTAAAAGGATAAAGTCACAATGATCAAACACCATTGTATTATATCATTACCAGACACTAAGAAATACCCACTGGTCAGGTGGCAGCTACACTGGAGTGTAACATTAACAGCTAATCTAGGGCTGGGGTCATGGCTCAGCGGTAGAACAATCCCCTAACATGTGGGAGGCCCTGGGTTCTATCCTCAGCACCACATATAAATAAAGTTATTTAAAAAAAAAAAAAATTCAAGACTTTTTAAAAAAATAGCTAATCTAAAAATTAGAGACCCAAATTCTAATCCCAGAGCTGTGTCACTAAACTAAATAATATAACTTTGTTATATAACTATTCCTGAGATTGAGCTAAAGAATAGGAAGATCATCTGTAAGTTTCTTTCCACTTTTCAAGCTACCACTATTTTACAGATATATACACGTGAATTCGTAAAATTTTGCCTAACAATTAGAGGCAAAGTGTGTAAAGTCCACACAATTATAACCAATGGCATTCTATAGACAACAGCGTATTAGAAGCTCTTGGATGTATTAAGACATGGCTTTAAAATGTGGAAAATTAATTAGGTAAAAATGCATTAAATCAATTACTAACAAGATTAAGTTTCGGGGGGAAATCCAACCATTACCATCATTGTTATTTAATCTATCACTAAAAAATATATTTGTGTTAATTAATTTTAAAAATATATGCTACTTAACTGAGGTTCTACACAATGATTTTACTTAATTTTTTGCAGTGCTGGAGATGGATATTGGAGCCATACTAAGATTAGGCAAGTGCTCTACCAATGAACTACCCCAGCACCACCTATTTTGAATTATTAAAAAAGATTAAGGATGACAGATACACATAAAGGAAGCCTAATTTTTCTTACCAGTGACTCTTCCCCCAAAGTAAATCATTCTGCTCATTTCTTCTTAAAAGAGTATGTATTTGAAATATTAGCATTTTAGAATCTTCAGTGGGATTTCAGTAAAGAATCACAGAAAATGATTATTCTTTCTTTTTTTGGGGGGGGGGGTCAGAGGAGGTACTGGGGATAGAATCAGGGGTGCTTTACCACTGAGCTACATCTCCAATCCTTTTTATTTTGAGACAGGTCTCACTAAATTGCTAAGACAGACCTTAAACCTACAATTCTCCTACTTTAGCCTCCGGAGTTGCTAGGATGTGTGCCACCACTCCCAGCAGAAATTATTATTTTTTCAATATAAAATTTTGGGCCGTATTTTCTAACATAAGTAAAACTGAGCAACTTCAGTAACATGTTGCATCTTTAATTTCAAACTAATATAATATAATTGACAATCTTTAGGAAAACACTGAACTATTATTTTGATTACACCTATTGAACCCATTATTAAAGAAAAATTTGACACATTTTCCTTAAATTCTAGCCATTTTTTTTCACATCTGGTTTGACTTTAACACACTTCCACCTACTGAAAGTGAAAATGACTTCATTCTCAAGTTAATTTTTAATCCAGACAGCTTATATTTTAAAATAACAAAGTGAAACAACCCAACGAAAATAAAGACTCTCTCTGAAATCCTCAGAATGTAAAACCTGTGTATTATCCTTTGAGATTAACCAAAGGTAAGCAAAATTAATTTATAAAAGCTTTTCTCTAAGCTCCTTTCTTTAAAACAAAGGCTAACTGTAGAGAGCTATTAACACATTCAATGGACTGGGGTTGTAGCTCAGTGGTAGGTCACTTGCCTTGCATGCGTGGGGCGCCACATTAAAAACAAATAAACAGGGATGGAGATGTGGCTCAAAGGGTAGCGTTCGCCTGGCATGCGTGGGGCGCTGAGTTCGATCCTCAGCACCACATAAAAATAAAATAAAGATGCTGTGTCCACCGAAAACTAAAAAATAAATATTAAAAAATTCTCTCTTAAAAACAAAGATATTGTGTCCACAACTAAAAAAATATTTAAAAAACCCAAACAAAACAAAACAAAAAAAAAACACTTTCAAGGGCAAAGAACGTCTATAGGAAGGCCTGCTCTAAACTAGAATAAAATTAACACATTTTGGTTATCTAACACAAAAGGCAGCAAAAAACATTGAAAAGACTAATAAGCATGTCAGAAGTTCTGGTTTCTGGTTGTTCTATTTAAATCCTAACTTTCTCACTTGCAATAAAGGGAAATTGTAATGACCTCTAAGGTCCCATTTCAGCTCTTCAGTATTTCAAGATACCTATGGTCAAGTTTTTAGTTGCTTGAAAACAGTAACAGAAAACTAATTACCCCCTTCCCACCAGACCATTCTTTGTCAAGCAAAGCTTGAGTCTTATTTATCTTATTCTTCCAATCAAAAAAAAAAAAAAATTAAATTAAAAAAATAAATAAAATAAAGGAGACATATTTAGTGTTTGTGCATCTTCTAATCAGACACTATTAATCATTTCTTTTAAAATTAAATTACCTACCTCACTGGGGTGTTGTGAGGATTAATTCATTAGTGTTTGTAAAGCACTTTGAGATCCTCAGGTCAAAGGCGCTATAGAAGTGCAAAGTAGTAGTATTATTACTAGATTCTTTGCTTATTTAAGGAATTTCACAATCCTTTAAAACCTGTGTTGATTTAGACATCTATTTGTAAAAATCTATTATTTATCCATATTACTTTAAATTCTTTTTTAATATTATAGATAGACAGGGGTAGATGTTTCATAACAATTAATTTTAAAGGTCAAACTCTAATCTACAAATGGAGGGAGAGTTGAGGAAAATCCAGTGTGACAAATTTTGTTCAGCATAAAATTTTAGTAAGAGACCCTGTCAATCAGTGTGCCTAAGGTGAAAAACAAAGCAAAACTGCACTTTAATCATAGATTCTACAATGAGAAATTCCTTTCTTTAAGAGGAAAGGAAACAATATCCAATCAACTCGCTTTAAAAAGCTAGCACTACCCTTGTAAATTATTTACATGCATATGCGTGCAATTGGCATTTAAACCTCTACATTTAAATCACATACTAACAGTTTTAGTATGAACTAATATCAAAATAATTGAGCTGCTTTTTTAACTAGCCTCCCACCTTCAATTACATAAAGAAAACTAAGCGCTGAGAGGAGGTCAAAGCAAATTTGCTTTATGGAATTAAGAGAAACCCAAGGGTCAAAGCTTCTAAACTGGTTAAAATCTTGGATTATTCAACCACTCCACCCTCTTTTCTAACCAAATCATTTTACAATTAAAGCTGTTGTATTTTTAAAGTGAAACAACACACATACATATACACACAAAGCTAAGAGAACCAGAATATCTATATATTGAACGTTCTACTCAATAAATAAACACCTCTTCTTAAACATTCCAACATCCTCTGTTGAGCTTCTCCAGTGCAACACAAGCTCCAGTTAAGATGGAACTGAAAATCAGATATTAAATTTTTAACCACTTACCTCCTGCTCCTGTTGAAAGATGACAACTCTACCACCTTTATCTCCTGTTGCTAGTAATTCTCCAGAATGATTAAATTCTACTGTAGAAATTATATCTGCTGTATAATTAGAACAAAAACAAAAGACATTAGTTTGTTTTCCAATTCACTAACTTCAGAGCTGAGCATGTTTCCTGACAAATTCCAAGTCTATGTATCAATTCACCAACAGAAACAATGAATTTTAAGTTCTTTCAAGTATATTTTAATCCACTAAAAAAGAAAAAAATCCCCCATAGTAACCAACTTAAAACTATTTTAACAAACAGAAGCACAGCGAATAATAAATTAATGGTTTATTAATATTTTACTAAAATTTGTGAATGCAAAGAAATCAACAACTTCTGTAACATTCTATGAGAGAATGATCAAATACAAAATAATAGTCATCTTGCTAATCTTCTAACTATATATCTTTGAGAAACTTGGGTTTGCCTGATTTTGGGATGCTGAGGATCACAGCCAGGGCTTCAGGCATGCTATGCAACTGCTCTACCATACTACTCCCACACCCAAAAATGACCTATAAAATATTTAAGGCAGCTATTACTAGAATGAGGGTAAAATTGAAAATGTAAAAATAATTTCAAATGGAACTGTAATAGTCATAAATTCAAATTTTATCCTCAAAAGTTAATAAACAGAACTTACTTAGAATTCTGAACATTTAAACAACTCACTCAAGTCAAAAGAAAACTATTACATACACAGGATTAGGCTGATAATATAAATTTAAGAATAATAAAAACTATCAATATTTGGGAATACCTTAAGATTATTTAAGCAACTATAAAATGCTTTTAAAAGGCAAACGGTGATACAACAATGTTAGAGTCTTAAACTGAACTTCATGCTTGGCCCAGTATGACAGGACACACATCAACTGAATTCTCACAAACCACCAACAATTAAATGCCAAAGAAAAATAACAGCTTTTAAAAGGAGAATCTTTCCTAAAAAGATTTATTAAAAAATGCTATTTTGAGGGGCTGGGCCTGTAGCTCAGTGGCAGAGCCTCTGCCTGACTATCATATGTGAGGCACTGGGTTCGATCCTTAGCACCACATAAAAATAAGCAAATAAAGGCAATTCTGTCCATCTCCAACTACACAAGAAACTTTTTTAAAATGCTATTTTGTTATAGGTACAGTTCAGTAGTAGGGGGATTGCCTAGCGTTTGTAAGACCCTGGGTTTGAACCCTAGTGCTGCAAAAAGAAAAAGGAGGGTATTTTACAATGGGAAAAAAATAAAAAATCCACCCTATATTAATCTTATAAAAAAAATAATCTAATATGGGGTTAATAAACAGAGAACCTCCTCTCAGAATAATTACTTTCTTTTGGGGGTGGAATGGTAACTGTTGGTGATGGTGGTGGGAAAGACAATATCAGCATCACTGGTTTAATTTTTACCTCATTGTCATCCCTTTTTGTCACCTACCTTCTCTATTTCTTTTTGCAGAATAGGACACAATCAGATAGCCAAGGAAGGGCTCAAACATATAATGAGCTCATGTTAAAACTCAGGTGAAACATTTAGATAGTATATAGAAATGATAATTAAAAATAACTACGGTATATTAATTGTCCTTCACATTCTTTAAATCCTTCAGTTCTTGAGAGTCGTGATACTTTACAAAGATACTCATTGATTTTATAAATTCCATTTGAGAATTATGTTCCAAATAAATGATTTCAATGAAACAATCATGTACAGATATAACTGTATTACTCTACATATATATTTTTAAAAAACACCAAAATTAAGAAATGTAAGAGTAACCCCCAGTCCCAGGGGGGGAAGGGTTGCTTCCCTGTTTTTTTTTTTTTTTTTGGGGGGGGGGGGGTGGTACCGGGGATTGAACTCAGGGGCACCTGACCACTGAGCCACACCCCCAGCCCTATTTTATATTTTATTTCAGACAGGGTCTCACTGAATTGCTTAGTGCCCCACCATTGCCGAGGCTGGCTTTGAACTTACAGATTCTCCTGCCTCAGCCCCCTACACTGCTGGGATCACAGGCGTGCACCACAGTGCCTGGCTTACTGCCTGTTTTTGTAAATGATATTTTACTGGGACCCAGCTCAATCTATAAGTAGTTGGAGACTGAAGATTTACTATCTGGCCATTTACAGAAAATGTCAACCCTTGTTTGTGCATCTGGACACTGACATTAACAAATATGGTTTGTATGGATACAAAGACAATGAACTAATGTCAAAGAAAACAATTCACAGGGACATGTACAACCATGATGTACATGTACTCGATATTTATATACAATTCTACTATTAATCTTCATAACACCACTATAACATAGATATTATTTTCAATTTAGAGAAAAGCAAAGGGATGCTCAGACAAAGTAAATAACTTGCTGAAGAAAAATACACATAACTATTAGGCTTCAGAGCCAGTATTCAAATTTAGCAGGTATGAACAACTATATGGATAAGGAAGCAGCACAGGATTTTGCAAATCACTGAATGATGACCAGTGGAATAATATAGAAATGTTCAGTTTATTGCCTCTTTTTCATTATTAAAATGCCTGTGTTCAAGAAAATATTTAGAATTAAACATCTTTATACGACTTACTAATGACCACAAGCAACTACTGCCTATTCCCTACAGTAAAGTTTTGAGTACTTAATTCAGCACCTGCTACATTCAAAGCACTGGGTGATACATGTTCTAAAGTCTACCCTCCTAAAGAGGCTTACAAGAAAGAACTAGAGCCACAATAAATAAACAGTTTAAGATTAAGTATACATTTAAGAAAATCATTATGAAGTACAGGACTGAGTAAAGAGAAGGAGTAAAAGAGAGTGAGCCATATATTGGCTCCAGGAGTATAATAAAACAAAATAATCAATTGTGAAATAAAGTCTAAGAAATAAAGAACTTGTAAATACTTAAATAAGCCTCCCCTTTTTAAAAATAAAAACAGGCGTACACACACTACTATCCAGCTACACTGTTAGCCCCAACCTTTCATACCTGGAAGGAAATTCATTTATTTCTGGATAGACTGAATCTTTAAAAAAAAAAAAACAAATAATTTATTTCCCATAAAGCTTAACCAGGCAATCAGTCTCCTCTAGTTTTGAATGAGAAGAAAAGTGAACAGAATATAGGAAACAAGTGTTTTCAGACAATGGGCACTATGGTGCATAGGATTGCGAGCCCACAGGAGGAGGAACAGAAACCGAGCCCTAATATCCACTGCAGCTTACTGACTGGAATGAGCTTCCAAGACAAGGTAGTAAGTCAGAAAAATCCAGAGACCACCAATCTCACTGGGTCTAGAGACAGAAATTAGGAATTTTGAGAAAGCTGAAGTAGCCAGAAGGATGGGCAGAGTAACCCAAAGGATAGATACTGTACAGAGAGTTAGAGGGATCTACCTTGAGAATCTTAGGCTGAACATGGATCTGGGCCTATGTGGAGCTTTCCTAAAAACCTTAAAATAAAAAATAAAAAAATAAAAAAAGATCTGACTAAACTCAAATAATTTAACTATGTGCTAGAAGAAAATCCAATATTCAATATATTCAACAGCATAAATTGACCATGTCTGGCACCCTACTTAAAATTACCTGGAATGTGAAGAGGCGGGAAAATATGAACTACAACCAGAAGAACACCCAACAGAAACAGAACCTGAAATGGCACAAATGATGAAGGTCCTAGTAGATAAGGATCTAAAGCAGCAATTGGAAATATGTTTCATGTTCAAAAATGAAACATGAATGACAGAAATTAAAGATAAAAAAGACAAAAAAAAGGGGGGGGGGGGTGGTTGTGGTGGTGATGTGGCTTCATGGCAGAGCACTTGCCTAGCATGCATAAGGCCCTGGGTTCAATCCCTAGAACTGTCCCCTGCTCCCACAAATTGAAAAGTTAGTTGGAAATGAAAGATTTGAAGATATGATGACTAGGATTCATAGACCAGATACTATAGCAGAAAAGATGACCTTGAAGACCTAGTTATAAAATAAAAAATGAATGATGTAAAAAGGAACAAGGGGGAAAAAAAAAAACCCTCAAGACCTGACTTGTGGGATGACATCGAATGTTCTAACATGCATCCCTATAGCCTTGGGTGGAAAAAAACATGGGAAACATTTTAAAAAATGATGACCAATATGTATATAAATGCTCAAGCAAGATGATACTCTATTCTCTACTATGTAAGACAACTAACACAAAAGGGTTAATACATATTCTAAGTGCAAGCTTATACTGGCATGTAGTAGTGACAAATGAAAGCCTTTTAGCAGCCTTGAATTGGTGATGTGACTTTGCAAAATTGTGAAGAACTCTGTAAAATTCCAGTACTTCAAATATAATCTTCCCTTGTTTACACAGTAAGCTATAGGTTATCCATTAAACCTATACCCTCTGCTTACTCCAAAGAAACCCTTCATAATAATATTATATAGTAATAATATAGGTTTGGATTTCAGGCTTAGAAAATTTAAAATTTTTTTCCAGCATCATGAACATTTTTTTAAGAATATTCTAAGTCATGGAGACCAAGGAACAAATTTATGGTCCTGCAAACTGCCACACTTGGACCAATAATGTCCCCAATAACTGACAAAATTGTTTTTTTTTTTTAAAAAGAGGAATTTAATAGTAAAAAAGGTCTTTCCTATTATATGTATCAATTAAAGCTAGGTTTAAAAATTCAAGTCATAAATCTTTATATGCTCAAAGATTTTTCTTGATAATTTCAGGGTTATTAAGAATAGAGCTGACAAAAATCTAGAAGGTTGACACACCCCCTTTGTGACTGACAAGATTAAACAAGGAGAGAAAAGTAGATGGGACCAGGGAGGGAAAAGGGATAGATCCTAAAATTATGAATGATAAACACAGGAAATTTATATCAATATAAAAAGTATACATTTCTTCTGGATGTTTTACTTGTTACATTCAGCAATAGAAAAGACTCAAAGAATTCTAATTATAAATTTTAAAGACCACATTCTCTAAATTTAAATTAATAAAATTAGTTAAAAATTAACAACCACACTGGTTCTAACCAACCACTT